TGTGAGGTGCCCATGTCCGAGCTCCAGTGCGTTCTGGCGTTGGTGGGTGGGGGGCGCTGCCCACCTCAGCAGGCCAGTGGCAGCTGCCTGGAGGGGAGACGGAAGCCGGGGTGCAGGACAGTGGGAACCATTCCTCCTTGGAAGCCTCAGACGCTGAGTTTCCGTCTTTATCTCAGCAAGAAAAGTTGGTGACCATGCTGGATTTCCTGTGAGCCCTGGGACCCAGGAGAGCAGTGACAGTCACAGACCTGCCCACGTTGTGTTCTAGAGCAGAGTACGCCGTCCGTGTGCCCTAATAGGACCATGCCGCCCCCTCTACTAGGAGCTCGTGTAGCGCAGTGCCTAAGGCACTCGACTGCTAACCAGAAGGCTGGCGGTTCAAACCCACCGGCCACTCCTCGGAAGGAAGGTGGGGCAGTCTGCTTCCGTACTGATACCGCCTCGGAAACCCAAGGAGGGGTCGCTATGGTCGGGTCCGACTCGACTGCACATAACAACAGCAACCCCCTCTACTGAGGACAGAACCACACAGGACCCCCGGGTTCCTCTCGGTCTCTCACAAGCCATGAGCTGAGCTGCGTGTCCCCTCTGACCCTGAGAACAAACTGCTTGTCAGCAAACTTGGGTCCAGCTTCCGTCCCTGCCCTGGGCCCTGAACTTTGACCCTGTCCGCCTGAGCCAACACGCAGCCCCTCCTGAAGGGCCCCTCCCGAGGGCACACCTCGTGTGAAACCTGCTGTGAGCCACCGTCCCGGGACACCCCCTTCACCCACTCCTCACCCCTGGTTCTTTCTGGCCGCGTTTATGTTCCACCCGTTTTGTTGCCCTCCTGAGACACTTGCTGAGTGAGCTCACCACCAGAGTGGTCTCCCGGCTGTGTAGGCCCCGCCCTGCCATTCCAACAGCTCCCCCAGGGGTCTTTCTTCCAGGTGAAACCTATCTGGTCTGTCAAACGTGCACTTGATTTGTCTGTGCAGATGAGGCCGGGCTCAGACAGGCTTGTGGGGCCTGATGGGCCCGGGTGGCCATTGTGCAGACAAGGCCGGGCTGACAGGCTTGCGGGGCCCACGAGGCCGGGCTGGCTGCTGTGTACACAGGGCCGGGCTCAGACAGGCTTGCAGGGCCCATGGGGCCAGGCTCAGACGGGCTTGTGGCCGAGGGGGCCGGGCTCAGACGGGCTTGCAGGGCCCAGGGGGCCGGGCTGGCCACGCTGCAGGGTCCCCCTGTGTCCCCGCTCTGCAGCACCATCGTCCCTGACTTCTTCGTGGGGCAGGAGCCGTGGCATCCCTCTGACGACTGGTCTACCTTCCCGGAGTGGCTGAAGACGAGAAATGCCCGGAAAGTTGATAAGTAAGCCCCGTGGGTGTGACTGGGCCCAGGAGGCAGAGGTCGGGCGCGGGGGTCCCTCGTCCCCACTCAGAGACTCCCCGGTGTAGGCTCCTGACGGCCACAGCTCGCAGGTCCTCCTGAAGCCCCAGGAGAAATGTTTTCATTTGGCTCCGTGTGTGGATACGTGGTCCTCAGGGCCCCCAGTGCCTCCCTCTCCACGGAGCCCCCGCTGATCCCAGGGTCGTGTGGGGTCACAGTGGCACTGATTACCCTAGATGGGGCTTCGGGGCCAACACCGGCCTTGGCCCTGAGGGCGGCCATGACAGGGTGGCAGTTGGAACAGGAGTTTGTTTTCTCACAGCTCTGGGGCGGGGAACGGGTTTGGGGCGGGCACTCTGGGCTCTGGGGGTGCCCCCTCCTGTGTCCCAGCGTCTCAGCCCCAGGGCATCCCGCAGCATCAGGCTTTTAGGTGCATGGTCACAGGGTGTCTGTTTCCCCATGTGGCTCAGTCTCCGTGTCCTTTTTGTAAGATGTCCCCCCTTTTGTAAGATGATACTCAGAAGGGATTGGGATGAGGTCGCAGTCTAGGGTGACGTGACTGCTAGAACCTGCAAAGAAAGACATGTTTTTCCTAAGGCCACGTTCACAGCACAGGGGTGCAGGGCGGCCTGGGTGCGTCATCCTCTGGCCTCCTTTAACTTCCTGAGGAGGAGAGAGAATCAGCCTTGGAGTCAGCAGCCCAAGATGGTTCCTGGGAGGCAGAGGGCAGACGTGTCCACCCTCCAGCCTTTGTCCTGGTTCTGACAGCAGCGTCCCTCCACTCTGCCGCTCTGCTGGGTTTGGGGGTCCACTGCAGTGGCCACTCGGAACCACACACAACACTCATGGTTGTGGGGTTTACTAAGGAATTACAGGTCACAATTCAGGATCAGAAAGAACTCGGGGTGCAGTTCTTCCATCAGGCCAGCTTCCCCTTGGCCATGCCTCTCTGTGGCCCTCGGCCTCCTGGCTCCGTGGTCCCGTGGCCTCCTGGCTCCGTGGTCCCGTGGCCTCCTGGCTCCGTGGTCCCGTGGCCTCCTGGCTCCGTGGTCCCGTGGCCTCTGCTCAGCTTGGACGGCGCTACAGAGCTCATGTGGTTCCACCCGTG